CACACACACACACACACACACACACACACACACACACACACACACCAGGTCGTTTAATCTGCTTGGATGCTTTTTCAGAGCAGAAGAAGGCCGGACAAAAAATGTGCAGTTTACTTCCAAATCACGTCAAGACTAATGCGATGCTGCTAGACCCACCGTACCGGTGTTTAAAGACGTCAAGCTAGAAGTGGCGTAACCGCGAGAAAAAAGTTGAGGGGTCGTTGTCTTCCTATCCGTTCTTTCAAACGGTAAAAGGTGTTCGTGAAAGGAGAAAGGGGTCAAAACAACAATAGGCAACAATAGCAGAGCCAGCGTTGCAGTAGTCAAGTGAAAAATTGAACTTGGGCAAATCCGAATACAAATATACTTGAACCAAGATAGGGTTCTATGTGTACGCGAAGACCACAGCCCTGATCTCTTGACCACAGGTCTATGGAAACCTATGGCAGCTGCACGCCAGCTGGCACTTGCACTCTATGCGCCCTATGCACTTAGAGCAGCGGCGGTAAACGCGGCGCTTTTCGTATCGTTTGACCGCGGTCTGGGCGGTGGGTCCCCTGCTTGCCGGCAGCCGGCCCCGCCTTCCCGCCGCCCGACGCCGCGCATTTCGGCCGGACTTTCCGCGGGGCGCTGGGCGCATTTAAGGATCGGCCCCCAACCCCGCGGGAGGCGGGCGGGCACGCGCGGCGATTTTCGATACTCCCCTCTCGCTGCCCTTCCGCTGATCCTTACGTCCACGTGCGAGTAGGCAAACCGCCCGCAGGTGTGCTTGCGGTACAGTATACCTACAAAAGTGCGCGGCGTGAGTCAGCCCCCAGGTATAATGTTTACTACTTGTTTCTCAGAACAAAGCACGACCCTCACGATCAGCCCTCAATTAACGAGAGTCGTCGTGCACCTTCCTCGTGCATGGTTACTCGAGTATCGGCCTTATAAGGCCGAGGTGGACGGGCAGAAGGTATCACTCCATCGCCATGGCCCGCCTCAGCATCGCAGTCCTCGCCCTCTTCGCCGTCGCCGCGGTGAGTTCAACCCCGGCCCGGCGGTACTCGTCACGGCATCCCTCCCACGAGCTAATGTGTTAATGTAACACACATTGCAGGTTGCCTCCGCTGGGGCTCCCCCACCACCCCCGAAGGGGCCGGCCGGACCCCAGGGCCCCGCTCCTGCAGGAGGTGTGAAGGCTTGGCTGCACCAGAAGGAGGCCCAGCTGAAGCAGTGGGCTGGTCAGGAGAAGGCCAAGCTCCAGGTCAGAACAAAACCAGTGTCCTATCCTTTTGGTGATAGCTTAGTAAGCCAACTCTGTCACCGTTGCTTTCGAGGTTCCCTGACATTCGCTCTCGCTTTCTTCAGGGCCAATGGAAGGAGAAGGTCGTTCCCCACATCCATGATCTGACCCAGAAGTTCGGCCAGCAGTGGCAGCAGAAGGCTCCCAAGATTGCCGCCCTCCTCAAGCAGAAGGCAGGAGCTGCATTCGAAAAGGCCGTCAACTTCGTCAACCAGAAGCTTGCCCCCCAAGGTCAGCCCCCCAAGAAGGCATAGGTAGACAAATGAACTTCGTACCGAAATAAAGATCTTGTCTGAAAACCGACCACTTACTCGATCTTCTTACCTATTCAAACATAGAGATTGAAGAGATGGGGTGGACTTTGCCCTCTGGTGGAGGCAGTCTTGGGGACAGTCTAAAAAGATGCTACTATGATTAGCAGCTGTGATAGCTTTTACGGATGTTGGCTTTTTCCCAGGCACTAATTAACTTCCAGGTTCTCACCGAGAGGGGGGAGGGGGCAGCTCTGTGTGGTTTTCGTTTATACAGATATGCATACCAGGTGGCTGACTCATGCCGCGCACTGTCCTAGTTACCCTGCACCGCATGCACGGGAGTAGGCGGTTTGCCTACTCGCACGGAGCCGCAGGGAGCTGTGGGCAGCGAGGATAGGCAAGCGCGCACGCACCCGTGCATGCGGTACAGTATAACTAAGTGCACTTCTTGAAGCCACCTAGCATGTATGCGCTTCGAGGGGGAAATCACTTGCGTACTAACGCGTACACCCAGGCCTGTACTAAAGACGTACTAACTCGTACTAACACCGTAACAACGCGTATACTAATGGTAGAATTCAAGCGTATTAGTGTCGTAATAACATTATTTTGCATAAGTGATGAAAGACTACGCAAAAAATATGGTGTACTAACGTGTACTAACGTACTAACTCGTACCGAGCTCGTACACTTTGATCTGGAGTGATTTCCCCCTTTATGCGCTTATTGCGTGGGTAATTGCAGCCCTCTTGTACCGTCGTAGACTTGCTGGATTCTTGAACAGTTTGTTGCCCCTGGGAGACTGGGGTTGCACAAAATACTCGGAGAGGACTGTCTGATCAACAAATGTTGGTGCCGTTTTTAGCACGCCCTTTTTCTTAGAAAAAGCTTCGGCTTGTACAACTCTCTGAAGCATGAAAATGCGCTTGTTTTCAGCGCACTGCGACTACGAATTCAAAGAAATTTGCATGGCGGTTTTAGGACTGCCACCCTGTAACAGGTGGGGAATAAATTGTCGATTCAATGGTCCACTTCATATGTCCATTGCATATGTACTTTCGACTGTATACATTTCTGCGTCTTTATGCACAACAACATGCACAAGGGTTGTGTCCCCCCCCCCCTTCTGTGCCCCGCCACCTCGCAGTAATGTGTG